AATAATTAGGTATTTCTTGCCTGAGTGCCTTGAGACAAAACCGGTAAAATAATAAGAACAAAATATGTGAGCAAAGGAATTCATAAAAACCGTAATATGTAAAGTTGATTAAAACAAATTACATATAAATATATATAAATACTGTAAAATCAAAAAAAAAACAGCTGGAAGAGCAGCAATTTTTTTTCAATTGTATAGTACTGTATGATCGAAAAAAAACGGCGTCCAGTTAGCTTGTTAATGATTATCGATGACATTCCCCATATAATTTTAAATATAAAATGACAGCAATCATTATTTCATAGCCGACCACTGTGACCATTGTGTATTATTCTTATTACTAATACTGCACCCAATCACTTTTTTGACAATAATCTATAAAAAATAAAAAGGTAAACAATTTTTCATATTATAAAATAATTTATTTCATTACAGGCCATAGGCACAAACCGTCATTTTTACTCCGAATAGGACATGCTATTTTTTTCAAACGTCACAAATATTTTTTTAAACAATTTCAAACTTTGCAAATAATAAACAAGATTTAAAAGTAATAACCTTGTAACTCTAATTATACCGTATGATCGAATAAAACGGCGTCAGCGATGGCTATGAAATGACAATCGATGACATTTCCCATATAAATTTACATATAAAATGACAACGATCTTCATTTCATAGCCATCGCTGAGGCCGTTTTTATTCGATCATACGGTACTTATATCGAGAAACTATGGTTACACTCGTTGAATTTGACACTTTATATCAGTTTTTAATAATATTTTCGTACTTTTGTGCTTATGCGTAAAAGTGCTTTATTTTATGCCTAGGCATTAAAATTACTTTTATTTTATCAATCACGTCGCCAAAATTAATACTTTTGTTGGGCGTTTGAAAAAAAAATCATTTATTTGTAAGTTTTATAACATATCTAATTAAATTGGGCCGAAAGGAGTCAGTTCTGAACACACATCCGTGGTTGTGTATCATTCTTAATTTATTTTTAAAAGAACATAAATACCTACAAAACAAAAAATTAAAGTTAGTAGATATGTCAAAATAATAAGTAAATTAGATATTTTTAGAAAACCTATATATTTATTTAATTGGAAAAACTGATGAAATTTCATATATCTTTCAAATTAGAAATTGTATCCTAATTAATTTTTACTCTAATTGCTAAAAAACGAATATTACAAAAATTAAGTTATAAAGTGAGTTTAGTTATATTAAAGTTCACCATATTGTCAAGAAAAAAAAAAATTATTGCTTTTAAATTAAAAAATTATGTGCAAGTTAGGTTAAACTACAAGTTAAACAATATAGATAATCAAAAAGTTTTTGATAAAATTTGCTTTTTATGATGTCAGATCATTTCTATGAAAAATACACTAGATAGAATACATTAGATTTTTTATTAAAGACGCTGATGGGTAACTAAAACATTGACTAATAAACCTTGTCCATTTTAATATAAGAGGTGACGACATATTCCCCTTGGAATCTTTGTGAAGGTGTAAGGGGGTGTATAATAAATTAATCCTTGTTTTATAATAAAACCATAAAACATTTATTTGTGAGTTAAATAAACGCCTGCCCTCGCCTGTCATAGGCAACCAAAAATACATATAAAAAATCTTGTAACTTTAGATGAACTTTAGTAATTATGTCAGTAAACTCTTAATTAGCCTCTAGTCTATTATATTTAACGTACAAATATATTATTAAATTTTAATCATAGATTAAATATTTTAATCTAAGCATTAAGTAATAAAACTATTTGTGCCCATTTATCATAAGAGGTCTGAAATATACTCTTGGTAGTACACAAAACAGTGTAAGGGTGTAAATAAAATGTATAATCATTGATTTTTTATAATATAAACTATAAAACATTTATTTCTTATTTGTGAGAATAAAAAAAAACAAAACAATGCATAATATAAACTATTTTAGAATTAGGTATAGGCAACCAAACACACAAGAAAAATAATTTAGATAAAACCTTGTAATTATTTATTAAATATATCAATAAAGTCTTAATTAAGTCTCTAGTCTATTTTTATTTTATATTTACATAATATAAAATACCCACACTCTTTTCCGATACAGAAAATTTTGTTAATTGCTTCTTGAAAATGCGACAACCTGACAACGCTGTTTTTAACGTTCGGGACGCGTTCGGGTGGACGACTCTAGCCGAACAACTGGTAGGACAGATGCTCATTAGGACAGATGTGGTTCTCCCGACAAACACAACAATATTCCGACTTTAAACGAGTCGCTCCGACAATTTAGGCTGCCGTGGCGGGAAAAGTTAGCGCCTTTTATTTGAAAGTTTTATGAGTGTTTTTTGTGATTCCTTCAAATACATCATGTTTGATATTTTCTGTGCCATAATTGTTTAAATTTAATATAGGCATGCTCAACTTAAAAGAAGACTTAACGTTTTTACTTAATCAGAGTTTATAAAAAGATGTTTAATAATAGAAAAAACTCACTGTCTCATTTTTACCTCAAATTTTTACTGTCTCATTTTTGCACCGCCGTGCCCTATTTTATTTTATTTTATTTTGCGTATTTTATTTTTATTATTGTTTTTTTTATATGAGGTTTTACACAACATTTCTTAAAATTTTACTTAGATAATAAAGATTTAACCTTTTTAAAACCAAAAACAAAAAGATATACCTACAGGTGCCAAAATAAAATTTTCGCTTTATGTCGTTCCAATGTGCGTCGCATCGCATCGTCGGCGTCGTTTTAAACAGAGATAATCGAAAAAATTTACCGAATAAAGTTAGTTTGTGGTAGTTTACTGTTTTAACTTGTCCCCATTTTTGTATGCTATATTAATACCAAATTAATTAAAATCGTTACTTATAATAATGATATACGAGAACGTCATTGTACATACCTACACATCGAAAAATTTGACTAAGTATCATAATAGCCAGCGTAATAGCAATTTGCGTGCTCTGCATACACTGGGATTTGTCCGACGCGACGCAACATAGTTATAAATCAGGGCCATGCACAGGGCCATGTAAGTGAAATATTAAAAATGGTTCTAGCAAAAGTTTCCCAATTACGACGGGTGATGGCGCTGATCTTCAAAATTTTTGTACGGGGAACTTTAAAAATAATTTAGATAGCTAGAGCAATGCCGTCTCTAATAGAACAGTCTCGGAGCGAGATTTATTACGTCACGTTAGTTAGATACTGATTAATAAATATTTTGTAGAATACATGGAAAATATAATTATTCCTTAGATTTTTGGTTTGTTTTTTAAAAATGATATAGTTTACATGAAATATACATAATATACAGTTAATAAATACAATATATTTTTTTTTGTTTCGTTTCTTTGACCTGTATACTATATATTTTTTGTTTTTACTCTTGGCTTTAGGTCGTTGGGGTTGCAAAAATGTTTCTAGATTTTGTTCATTATTTTATTTTATGACGACGTTTCGACAGTATATGTCTTTTTCAAGCCTCTTGAACGTAGATTCCTACAGAGTTAAAAATTGTTAAAACTGGACAAAACACAATAACACATATTAACTATTATTTTAATTGTTTTTGGACACAGTGGCGGATACAGAGGGGGGGCCATGGGGCCCGGGCCCCCCCTAAAATCTGTAAATTGGGTTAAATATTAGATTTTTTGGTTAAAAATGGCGCCCTGAAAGGCATATTTTGCATTATTTTTTATTTGGGCTCCCCTTAAAATAAATTTCTGTATCCGCCCCTGTTTGGACATCGTCTCAGTAGATATCGGGTACTCGTACATCGATGTCTCAGTAGACATCGGGTATTGAAATGATAAATGTGTTTTATACAGGTCTGCTAGGAAATACATACGTGCTCTATACTAAAGTGTGATGTCCAAAAACAATTAAAATAATAGTTAATATGTGTTATTGTGTTTTGTCCAGTTTTAACAATTTTTAAGGAAGGAATCTACGTTCAAGAGACTTAAAAAAGACATATACTGTCGAAACGTCGTCATAAAATAAAATAATGAACAAAATCTAGAAACATTTTTGCAACCCCAACGACCTAAAGCCAAGAGTAAAAACGAAAAAAAATACAATATATATACCTATTTATAGTAATAAATACTTGGGCTATGAACCATACGAATGCAGCATATGTTTTACAATATACAAATAATGAATCGGTACCTAAGGTAATCGGTAAAATGTAAAATATATTTTAAATTTTGGGGTTTGAAAATCGATCTAATTTACAAAAAGCATTCAATATCTACTAGTGATTTGCATTCACAAAATTTATATGTATATTTTGAAAGTATCAATGTTGGAAAAATTATATTTGCAAATAATACAATATCATCGAAAAAAAGGCGTCAGCGATGGCTATGAAATCGCTGTCAGATCGCTGTCATTTTATATGTAAAATTATTTAGGGTCATCGATCTTCATTTTCAAGCCAACTAGGCGCCTTTTTTTTCGATGATACGGTATAATTCTTACATAAAATGTAAATAACATTAGACCAATTAAAACAAAGAAATGTAAATTTCTTATTGTTTTACTTATATCAATTCTATTATTATTTTATTCATATTGTATTCAGCTATCACTTAAATATTTGATATTAATTTGGTATTATAAATAATCAACAGGTTGTAACAAAACGTGTAATATTTCGTGTTTTTTTATGAGAAACAGAGCGACCATATATCTGGTAGTAGTTTATGTTACACAAAACAAAATAATTAGTTTTTTGCACTACAATAACAAATAATTCCAAAAATCAACCGACAAAATATGAATACAGAATCTAACCGAATATCTAACGATAAACAGCTGATGAAGTAAACAAAAGTCCGCGCCGGGGCTGATATATTAGAGACGGCAGTGGCTAGAGCAAGTGCTTTTATGTAGAAATCCAAATTTGCCAAAAAAATATTAGCGGATCTCCATAAAGGTCTAACCTACATGATCCAAATTTCTTATATTTCTTGTAGAACAAGAGAAGCCAAATGGCAATTGTTAATAACACAGCTGCCACAGGTCTGGTGATGGACGTTAATGAAAATAAAATAGCTTTAGTTCAACCGACCCATACGATTATCTTGGATGGCATAAGGAAAAAAGGAAGTATAATGATGAAGTAAGAAATAGTTTATTTTACTACATTGTTCCTTAAAAATGTACACTCATCTTCTTCTTCCTGTGCCTTGTGCTTAGCCGCACGTTGGCGGTTGTCTGTACTCTTCATACCATGTGTACTGTTTGACCAGCGGATCTGAAGCTACGGAAGGAATGCGAGAAAAAAAAATCGATATTGCCACGTTTATCTATAAAATTGCAAAATTGCCAGACATGAACTATAAATTTAATATATTTTTATTATATATAATGTGTTTAGCATATATTCTGACTTATATTACTAAGGAATTTTAACGTAGTTCATATTGTTCGATATGTTTTATTTAATAACTTATTTCTTTCATTCTGTATAATCCGTTTATTATAAAAGGTGAAGATTTACAACGATATCATTGGCAAACCGGCATCGCCGCGCATGGCCGCCTATTCATCGAACATGATTGGCGAGAGTACGTCACAGGATTTGTTACCACGCGGTTGCCATGGCTTTTACGCCTTTCCTATTGGCTAGCGTTATCCCCAACTTCACGGTCTCTTCTGAAAAGAGTAGAAATATTGAATACTATTGAAATATCCAGATTGCGGTGTCATTCTTTTGATCATTATTATGTTCTTTCATTATTTTATAGCGGTTATCCTAAACTTTATTCTTATATTTTTCGTATATTTAATAGTTAAGTTGTGTTTTATTGTTTTGCTATCTTGTTATATTGTTTTTCGTTCGTAGTTTTTAATTATTAATATTAAGTTAGATCGTATATTTGTGTTTTAAAATGAATAAATTTGTTAAGGGTAAAACGCTACATAGCCAAACAAGAGAAATAATAGCTAATTTATATAGGTAAGTAGAATAATAATAATTATTAGAATATTAAAATTAAATATTGGCTAAAATAAAAAGCACACAATACATTTTACCTAAATATTTTATATCGGTTATCCTAAACTTTATTTCTAAATATTTTAGCTAAACTAAAATAAATATAAATAAACGTGGATGAAATCTCATTTGGTTTATTTCCTTGTGTTCATAATAAGGTTTGCGACGAAGAAGCTACAGAGAGTTCGCTTAAGTTGCCGCTTAAACGTAAACTTGAGCGGATATCTCTTTATACCGGAGTTAGCGTATCGGCTATAAAAAAAATTCACACAGAAGATAAAAAAGGCTGGAAACTAACCCCGATAAAATGATATCCAGTCCTAGAAAGAAACGACCACGTTAGACTGTTGTTGAAAAGCTCGACGACTTTGATTTCCAAGTGGTCAGGAATTTGATACATAGATTTTATCTCGAATTCAAAGTCGTCCCCACAATTAGAAAGGTTTTGCAAGAATTGCAGGAGGAATCGAATTTTCCTTTGGCAGGGAAACGCTTAGGGGGTTATTAAAATCAAATGGATTTTTTTGGCGTAAATGTCAAAATAACAGATAAATATTAATGGAGCGGCCCATTATATTGCAGAGAGATATAAATTAATATATACGCGAAATTCGAAAATATCGCCAAGTATTACCGTATGATCGAAAAAAAACGGCGTCCAGTTGGCTGGGAAATGAACATCAATGACATTTCCCATATAAATTTACATATAAAATGACAGCGATCTTCATTCCATAGCCATCGCTGACGCCGTTTTTTCTCGATCATGCGGTATCTATTTGGATGAAACATGGGTAGACAATGACCTAACCTTTAATATAAGTGCTGGCGGAGCGATACCATATCTGGTGTAATAGGCAATATTGGATCTACTGCTGAGCAAAATTATGTTTTGTTTGCACTTCCAAAGATAACTATTTTCAAGATTTTTTTTGCTGCAAATAGTTATATCTAAAATGATGTATTATAGAAAAAAATATAGTTGTACAGATATATAAATAAATATACCTCAAGACTTAGTCTTGATCATCTGCTGATGATGCTAACATGGTTAGCGAAACGTGCGTCCAGTGTAAAAGTAAAAGTGTTTTGGTGCATTGTGCTGATTTAGTGTTTTATTTTGCTGTGTAACACCAAAAGTTCTAACCCCCAACTGTAATTATTTCTTCTATTTTATTAACAACAAATAATAATAAAATGATTCAAAATATTTGAAGGAGCTTTAATAAAAGCTTTTAGTGTTTATCTGCTAACTCAACAGTAACAATTCAAACAGCATAAAGTTTTTTGAAAAACATTATTAATCTGAATATTATATTTATGATACACTTTATTTTCATAAAACACCGTAAGCCCATGCCTATTTTAAGAATGAAATTGGGCGTGTTTTATTTACAACTGCGTTCCCCTGCCGATACCCCGTAGCTTCAGATCCGTTGGTCGCACTATAGAGTGCCGTTTTCGGTCTTCGAAATATGGTGGCTGCATCGCTGATGTTACACACAGGGCCATGTAAGTGAAATATTAAAAATGGTTCCAGCAAAAGTTTCCCAATTATGACGGGTGATGGCGCTGATCGTCAAAATTTTTGGACAGGGATTTTGCTTACCGACAATACAACGTGAGCTACGACCGGACCAGGACCAATCAGAATTATCAGTCTTTCTTGGACATTTGCCGCGGAAGTGTGTGTTAATTTATTTCTGTTGTGATAAGTGTGGTTGTGTTTGCAGTTTGATTTTTCGGTTTTGATATTATGTTAAAATTAATTTTGAATTATTGTATCACCTGTTTTTATGTAATAGTACTTTTTTTAGTTCTATGATCTGATATGTTATGATTTGTTAATGTTTGTTTAACAATGTTATACCAAAGAGGTTATACTTAATATATCAATTTGCATAGCCTAAATTTTTTATCAATAAACTTTGTAGATTTTCAGATTATTTAATTCCTTTTGTTTCCGTTTGTAATTTTATTTTTAAGACATATTATGTGATTGTTTCACATAATATGTTTTAAAAATAAAATTGCAAATAGCGAATAAAAATAATTAAAATAAAAAAGTGTATTTTACAATTCCCCCCGGCCCCGCACCCCTTTGGCTAACCTATAAATGTCAACTATGTCGAGAGATGGCGTTACGAAAATGGAACCGATTTATTACAAGGAACTTGGGCTTCTTTTTCGTTAGTATATTCTGTGGTTACACCAATCCCGTATGTTTCTTAGCCAGGAATGTTGTTTTCTTTCTGGGCCTTGCCGTCCCTCTATTTTTCCTAAGATGGGCCATATGTAGCATTTTACTACCCGTAGTGTTAGCCAAAAATGTTGACTTTGCATAATTCGTTCTAAGTTTAACTTCCTCATCGCAGTCCCATCGTTCATTGTACACTCATAATATTCAAAATTAAAGCAAAATTTTATTTTATCTACGTCAGTGAGTTAATAAGATCTTAACCCACGCATTTTGAGTGAGTTAAGAGCTTCTTAACTCACGCATTTTCATTACCGCACTCCTTGTTTAGATGACTACCAAAGAGAAAAAAATATTTTGTAAAACATTTATTTTGCACTAAATACCTACTAAATACAAATAAACTGTTCTATTGATAATTATTATAAAAGCATGAAAACTTATTTATTATAAATGTTAATGATATAGATATTCTCCATCTATTTTTAATCCTTTGTTCGTCCACTCCAGTTGACGGAGGAATTCTTCTAGTGTTGCTATACATAAACAGCTTTGGGGATTTGGTTTGGTTTGGTTTGTTTTTGGTTATTGGTAAAGGATAACAATACAAGCAAAACGTTGGAACAGCAATACGTTGAAATATATAAATCGGATAATTAGATTTAATTAAACCAAAATAAAAGTATTACAATATGCAATAATTTTCGTTATATGTGTTCATTTTATGTTTTTTTTTCAGTGATCAACAAATTAACCGTGATAATATTTTTGATACTCTTAGAGACTATAATATGAGCCACAATTTTTGCATGCAGCCTAAGGGATCTTCTGCGAATATAGATACTTTCGCCCAAAGTAAGTAAAATGTAGAAAAAAGATTATAAAATTATATAAGAATTCTTGCCATTTAACTGCTGGTATAGAAATTTATATCCACACTGTGTTTCTCATAAGGTGAATCAAGCTGCTCTCACTACCGGTTTCGGAGCCCTATTCCATCATCAGGTGAGCTTGGGTCGATTGCACACGTGTGTCTAGCCCCAGCAAGGCAACTATTAAGCTTGACCAATCGCGTTAGAATTTTTGACAAAAGCGGATACAGAACAGCTGTGGCGTACTATGTAATTTATTACAAACAAATAAAGAAAATCAATGGATATCTAAAAAACAAATATAAATTAGTAAAAACCAACCAACCCCACCAAATAACCAACTAACCAATGAATTAACACCCTCCAAATAACCACGCTAACCAAAGCTTAATAGTTGCCTTGCTGAGGCTAGACGCAAATGATTCCACAAAATGACAAACACAGTGCAGAGTACCTAATATACCAACTTGTCGGAAAGTAGCGGTAAGATATTAAGTCCCGAACGGGGGATAGCGGCCTGCGTGCAATGGTAGTACTTTCGTACCACCGAGACGCAACTATCGATAGTAAAAAGATGGTAAAAAGGCTTTTTTCAGGCCAGCGAAATTATAAAATGGAAAAGAAATTTCTAGCAGTATAGGTATATAATAAAATTATATAAGAATTCTTGCCATTTAACATAATTTTAGCATATTCTAGCATAATTAAAAAATTAAAATTAAATATTAGTAGATGACGCATTCTCCGCTTGAAAAGACCTTTTAAATGTCTTTTTTAAAGGTCTTTTCAAGTTCGTAGCTCAAAAACTCGCGTTATGATAAAAATAGAATGGTCACCTCATTTTTTTCGGAAAAAAAATTAACAACAAAATCTATGACTAAGATCATAAAAATAAAAACTATCAATTTGTAGGAAATTACACGAGCTACAAATTAACCTCTGTAGTTGGACGGTCTTGAACTCTTCATTTTCACGATATTTTTGTGTTTTAAGGGCTCAAAGAAGGTGGTCCTTACACGCAAGTCAAACTAATAAAACGTAATATCCTTGTATATATATTTTTAACGTAGATCAACCTAAGACGTTTATGGACTAAGACTACTAGATGGCAGGACCGGTTTCCCTACAGAAATATTTTTTTTATTACTCTGAATTTTGAAGCTACCAATAAAAACAGAGAAAATAAAAATCGATAATTTTCGGACTGTGCCAATTGGTTACTAATCGACCAGATACTTTTTATCTATTAGATATGCTATAAAAGCTGGCAATTATACAATTCGACCATTGTAAATACCCGACAAATTCTTCAACGCCGACGAGGCCGATGTTTCTCACTGATAAGAAATAAAAATGTTTGTTTAGATAATTCTCTTCGAGGTATTTTTTCTTTCTGAATGCACATTTTAAAGTATTTTATATTCTTTGTCCCCTTCACCTATTATCCTGGTCGCACGTATGGAAGTTCTGTTTCTTCTAGTTTTAGAAAATGTTCTTATTTCTTTTTTCTTTGCAGTTGTAGGGTAAAATTAGATTAATTTATTGAGTTTAATTATAGTGTTTAGTGTAGCATGTTAGTGTAGTCTACCAAAAATAGTTTAGTAGTGTTTTTATAGTTTATTTTGTAGTTAAGTAGTAGGTGAAGGGATAATTTAGTTATTTTTTCTTTTTGTTTGATAAATTAGTAATCAAATTGATAGTTTGTTCAGTGTAGAATACAAGAATAAGTAGTTGTGTAGTGTTTTTAAGAGATTATATTCGTTTATTTTGTAGTTGAGTAGTAGCTGAAGGGGTATTTGGGTATTTCTTCTTTTTGTTTTTCTTGTAATTGTAGTAGTTCTATTAAGTATTGTGATAGATACACTGTATCTTCCTTCAACTTCGTTGAAAAGTGCGTTATCATATATAATCTTGGTTTTCTGGTAGCAGAATATACGAAAAAAAATCTGATCTAATTTATTTGAAATTAAATTAATCTATTCTTATTAATCAAATTAAACTAGTCAAATAATAATAATAGTTAGTTTCAAAATACTATACAGGGTGAGTTTCCTACGATGTTCTCTATGGGTATCTCGGAAACTACTGGAAATAGAGAGTTGGTTAATGGGGAAAGAATTGCAGTTTCGTGGGATCATAAATATGCGCCTTTCGGATTTTTTAAAAAGTTTATCGCTTACTAGATATTTCGAAAAAAAACAAATTTTGGCTAGTTTAAAACTTGTCCCTAATTCCATTATATTTTAGACAAAAAGTTTTCAGATACAAGTTGTAGATAATTACATACCTAATGAGTTTGTGTTTTCTGATTTTTTCTAAAGCCTGTAATTTTTGACCATAGTTGGCCATGACTTCATAAAAATCACCATTTTTAAGCTTTTCAGCGATATAGGTATATGTGTTTTTATCGAAACACATTTACAGTTAGATACAGAGTTATAGTTATAGCCAATTCTTTTCTTTCTTGGCTAATTTCACTTAGTTGGCATGGTATTCTTACTCTGTTATGATTTATAACATAAAAACACAGAATATATTATTAAACGATTCTTTACGATTTACATTACGCAAACTAAAACTTCATAATATCACTACCCCATACACTTAAGTTATTTTAGAAAATGTTCTCCCGTACCGCCTCTTCGAGGGGGTCCATGCAATTGGTCCACCATCTACCTCTTCCGATCCCTGAGTTTGCATAATTGTGATATAAATAATTTTTAACATTTCTTTCATTATGGGGGGGAGGGAAGTTTCATAATGAAAGTCATATTGGAACCACCCTATTGATGCGTGACTACCTAAATTTAACTTTTCTAACATGTCTTGAAAACCGTTCTCTTAAAAACGTAAATAACGTTCACGACGTTAGGAGGACGCAATCTCATTAAGGATGTGATTATCTACAACTTTTATCTGAAAACTTTTTGATTAAAATAGACTATAATGGAATTAGGGACAATTTTTAAAATAGCCAAAGTTTTTTTTTCGAAATATCTAGTAATCCATGAACTTTTTCAAAAATCTGAAAGGCGCATATTTATGACCTCACAAAACTGCAATTCTTTCCCCATTTAACCGACTCTCTATCTGCAATAGTTTTCGAGAAATCCATAGAGAACGTCGTAGAAAACACCCTGTGTATTGAAAATACTGAAGACCATAATATAAAACAGAATAAAAAATAAATTTTGCATTATCTAATTAAATTATTTTCCTGATACATTTTTTTAATGAAAATGTACTTGAATTATTTCAGTTAGACATGTATCCTGCTTTTAGAAAGTTTTATGGTTTAACGGGATTTGTGTGTGAGTTAAAATAATGAAATTTTTAGTTTTTATAATTCTTCACACATACAAAGTTAAAGCAAACTTGATTTTAAAACTCCCATATTTTACATTAATAAAGATTTAATTGGTGTAATAAAGATTTAGAGTGTATTAAGTACAATATATTTATTTTAATGTCAAATAATATTGAAGCAAGTAGCAATTTTTTGAACATTTAATCAAGAATGTAAAAAGTTTTATGTTTTCAAAAAAAAAATATCGTAAAATTTGTTAAACAATCAATTTAGAATAAAATAATCTAAGAATGAAATGATTTTTTAATAAACCTGCATTAAATCAAATTAAAATAGGTATGTAACTTTTTTTGAATATTAATTATCAGCAATTAACATTGTCATAAATTATAAATAATGTACCAACATTTCGAAATATTAATTTCTTTGTTAATACGGTTTAGAATTCTTAAAATAACATGCAAAAATAATCCACAATTTACAATAAAATAAAAGTTTCGTTTAAATTTATTAATCAGCTGATCACTATTAAAGTTCGCAGAAACCCGGGGCTATATTATTACATTACTCTGAGGAAAATAACGAAAATAATCGATATTTTTGACTCCGCCCCGAAAGGTTCACGATTTGTCCTCCAGTTGGCAGCACATTTTGTCTAGTCGGTTGGGCAACAAGGGTAATATCTAGGTACGAAATAAAGAGATCTACAGAAAAATTGAAAGAGAGCAAAAATATTGTAAAAAAAGACCTTCAATTTTATCCTATTCCCTTTTTTACGTATCTTGCTTAGTTTTTGAAATAAGCAAAAAAATTATTTTTTTTTGAAAAATAAAATTTTTTTCTATCATAACTCCGTGAGTTTTTGAGCTACAAACTTTTTTAAGAAAACATTTTCTTTTCAAGCACTTTAAAAACGGTCATATTCATTTTCTTCGAAAAATGTGTTCTTTCGTCATTATTTTACCGTAAAATGTTGGAATTTAGTCTTCGAAAAATAAAAAATCACCTTTACAGAGTGATAAATCGGCTATTATTACACCTACGGTAATCAACAAAAAATGGCTCATTTAGCTATTCCAGAAGCTTCATTTTTGCTTTACATGAGTTTTGCGATAAAACGCAAGGTTTTCGAGTTATTTATAAATTTTAAATATCTTCCAAATGACATTAAATTAAAATATTCTGTATTTTTTCCAGTTAAATAAATAGTGTTATTATTATAATTTTAGTACATACTATGTTGTACGACTTTTACTTATTTTTATCAGTAATAAGCAACATATTAAAGCGAAAAAGCGATGCGTTCGTGCGAGATGCGGATTGAATATTTTTTAAGAAAAAAATGGTATATACGCGAATGACTTCTCTTAAAATAAAAATATTTTTTGAAGCATTTTTTTCTGAGCATTTTTTTTCTAAGCAAATTTGATCCTTTGATTTTTTCCTCCGACATATGGTTTTCAGTTAAAAGACGGCCAGTCTGGTTATTCAGTTAATTTGAAATTATTATTCATTTTATCAGTTATTGTAAGTAGTTTTACCCCCAGGGTGAATATACAGATCGCTACTTTGTAACTTTTGTGTCTTACATATTCACTGTTAAAGTTTCACGTCAATCGGTGCAGGTGTTCAGAATTCGGACCGTAAAACCCTCGCTTACTGGCCTATAAATACTAAATAGACAAATATTTCTTATATAACTGATTTCAAGTTAACGAAACTTGAGCCAAATTAACTATTATTACATGTTTTTATTTTGTTTTAGCGGTAGTTGGAGGCAAGAAGAAAATCAAAGTTAATGTTACTATAAAAGTCGCTTTGAGTAGTCTTGGACCGGAACTTTTGCAGAAGATTCATGACTACATGTGTATGTACTTTGTAAACTTTCTATGTTGCGATGCAACCATACTTATTGGGTAGTATGAATTCATTATAAAATGTTCAAAAGCCACTGCTTGTCCCGACGTCCCAAAATATGCCACTAACCATTCGCTGAATTCAACTAAAATTTCAAGAATCTGAAATTTTAATATAGTTCTTCTACATGTCACAGATAAAGTCTCATATGGTATGATTACGGGCTTTTATTTTATTTATTGAATTAGGTCAAATTTGACTTTGGTGTTATGGTTCAGTCATTGGGGATTTTTGCTTGGAAAAAAGTCCAGAAGTTTTGAAACTTTGCAGATTTATAGGTTTTGGGGTCCCTAACTAAAATCCATAAAATGCACATCTCCAGACTTGCCGCCGGCGCACAGTGATAGAAAATGGATTTCTGAAGTTCCAAAATTCAAATTTCTTATTGACTTAAATCTTTTACAAAATTATATATTATCCTTCAAAGAAAGCTAATAAACAGTGCTACACAAATCCATTCGCCCTGGCTAAGAAACAATTGCTTCACGTTGATCGAAAGTCGAAACAGTTAATACGCCGTTTAGAGAAATTCTGATCTCTGTTGATTGCAGTCTTAACCGTTTCGTTAAATTAATATTTGTGTGTTTTGATTTCTCAAAATCATACTGCATATTTCTGGAGATATGTAATTTGTGTTTTGCATAAAATTATGATGTTTAGTATGAAAGATACTTTAGGACGCTCAATTAAAGTGTACATTGTAAATTAAAGAATAATGCGAAAACGTTGTTGCATACCAAGGTAGAACTTCTTTGTGCCTTGTTACGACTTTCAAATACTAACATCATTTTTTTCTCTACCTTTTTTCCTTCTAAATAAAACAGAAAACTTTTGCCACCAGACGCCCCTTCTCTTTTAATTTGTATTTTTATAGACAATTTCGCGACGATCAGGCGTATCGACTTTTTTGAAGTTTTGAAATCGAAGGGTCCTTTACACCCTAGAACACTTAACAGCCAACAAATACTCTTGGATTATGTTTTACATATTGTTGGAAGTGAGGATCTCTCAGTTGACGGCAAAAACTTAGTTGTTAACACTATTGATTATTTTACAATGAAACTGCATGAAAAGTAGAACAAATCAAAACGTTATGTACAAAACAATTCAAAATTTCATATTGAAGTCATTTCCAGAGGATACAATCAGAAAAGTCGATTTCGAAACGATATTTTTTTGTAGCCATGCCGTGTTTCTTGACAGTTTGTCCAATAATTCAATGGTGCTATACTTTGATTAAGTTACTTGAGCTAATCCAGTAATAAATTCCATATAAAAAATTTTCATAGAAGAACCAGGCTTGGAGCCAGGGCTAAAAATATGTATTTTCCACTTTTTATAATTGTCCCAAATTTTGTAGATAGCCTTAAAATATCATTTTAAACACTTTTTTCGAATGACTTTTTTCGATATTTTGCCATCTAACCCCACTTTTCGGGTTTTCATAGCGTTTTTTTTTAATTTGCCGCCATAACAGTGATCACGTGACTGGTGTCATAATGACATTTAAAGTTACTAAACACGCAGAAGCGATCCCCCATACAAAATTTATTATTTTATTTCATTTATACATATGTAGCCAACATTATGGTAGACACTGTATAGGTAGACAAAGAGGGTGAAATGTCGATTTTCAGTTATTTGCAGCTTAAAAACAGTTGAAAATAGGTATAAAACATAAAATACGAGTATGTCTAGAATTTGACATAAAATCCACAAATAAAATAAAAAATGTACGTGTTTCCATTAAAATAAAAAAGTTATCTGGCATAACTCATTTTTTGGGACTAAACAATCGTTTATAGGGCACTCGTATCTATAGTTATTATCTATATGTATATTATCTATAGTTAGTAAAAAAAACTTTTGCAATATCATTTGTAAGAGTTTATTAGCTTATATCTTGATTTATAAAGCCGAAAAAAACACTTACATAACATAAATATTTTTGGAATCGTAGAATTGCATTCTGAATCAATGTGCGGCGCCGGCGCCGCTATCTTGCCAAATTGGCGCCCAAAATTGGTATTTTGTAAATATCTCGAAAACTATGTATTTTTTGCAAAAATTTGAGGAGAGCAAAATTAAAAAGAATAAAATTTCCTATAAAAAAGATTCTACGAAAATTTTCGCTAAAGTCAACCGTTTAGGCACAAAATCCCTGGAAATTTTACAATTTTGCGTAAAATATATGATACCTAAATGTATAGTCGATTTTCCCATATCAAATGTCGATTAGGATTCACTAAAACTAGTTTTAGTTTAGTTTCTTCAGTTTTGTCATGAAACAGTGGCGTATCATTAATTCGCTTATTAATTTATGCATAATTAATTTTAATTATTGAAAATGTGTACTTTTGTTTCCACACCACCCAAGAGATAAAGTACAGTACGTCTGTCCGTTTTGTAGCTACGGGGTATCCGTGAGAAAGGAAACGATATTCTCTTGATGTTTTTTGTAAAAAAATAGACGACGCGTCCCATCAATAAAAATTCGACAAAATTGCAAGTAGCCAATAAAATGAGTGGGCGGAGCGATTTGCGGTGACGCACTCGTCAAATCGACGTATAAAATATATTGCTTATTGCTGTTTATTTAAATGTTTTTTGTCCGCATTCCTTTCATAGACACAGATCCAGCAGACGTACTGTACATGGCGCGTTTATTTTAATGTGGTCTCCCCGGAGGCCTATACTCTGTTTTTTTTCTCAGGTAAGATTTCGACAGACGATGACAGAAAAAAAGCCGATGACTTCCATGCCAATCTATTTATTTTACTAAAAAAAGTTTCTAATATTTTTTAAGTTAACTATGGATGGGTTTATAAATAAATACGTCATGAGTCGTCTCTTGTTGTTTTTAACCAGTTTTATTGGTTTATTTCAAAAACGACAGATCATATTTCAATATTATTGGTTTGACGCAACGATGAACGACAAATGGACTCCGATGCGTATGAACTCGACTTAAGATTTTTGAGAATTGTCAAACTCTTGCCAGGTTATAATTTTGTGTCAAATAGAAATGATAAATATTTTGCATTTTGCATTTTGGACTGTGTTGTTACTTGTGTTTCGTGTTTTTTAAAATTAAGTGGAGGAAACTCGAGGAAAAATTAATTGTTGACCCAGACCATAGTTTACAGTTAATATTCGGTGCCCAGAGACCGCCAGAAACACAGTTTGCCAGAGGCTATGGCCAGAGAATTGTATTAGCAACAAATAAAGTTGTATACTATCTCGTATATGGTACCAAAAACTGGAGTATCTGTAAAATAACATCACACGATAGGTAAATAATAAATTTTAGTACTGCAGAAAAAAAATTTAGAAAAAAAATTTAGATTAAAGTTAATTAACCAAGATTAGATTTTTTCAGTTTAATACATTTTTTTTCACAATATTTTGAAGTAATCACTTGTCACCAAAATTTAAATATATTAATTATACGTTCCAATTGTGCCAACTTATTTCTTTGTAAAATAAAAAAAACTACTTTGAAATTAAAATGACAGACACATCTATCATTGCCAAGGATCTTATCGTTGGAAAGACTATACTCCACTAGGTAAATTAAAAACTTAAACTTATCTGCACAAGTCCGACGGATCTGGCTCATTGATATCAAAGTCCATCGTGTCTGCTGTGCTGGGCTCATCAGGGTGGTCTCTCAATTCGTCCAACTCTTCATTTTCAGCTGCCAGAGGTATATCTACAGGCAAGTCCAACTCCTCATCCGATTCGTTGAGTAACACTTTAGTGACGTTGTCACAGGATTTCCCATTGCAGTATGCACAAATCATTGAACATTTTAATCATGCTTTTCTGCATCCGCAGGCTTTGCTACAGAGATTTTGGAGCTGGACCTGTCACCGTTGTGACTGGAGTAATGCCTGTTTTTGTTTTCTTCCAACCCCATTCTTCGGCATCTTTGGTACAACCAGACCAATGCTGAACCTGGTGGTAAGTTTACAATGAATGCTGTCCAGCACGACAATTAATTATTCATAAATTAATGAGCGAATTAATGATACGCCACTGTTTCATGACAAAATTGAAGAAACTAAACTAAAATTAGTTTTAGTGAACCCTGATCGACATTTGATTTCGGAAAATCGACTATAAATATAATATACTTTACGCAAAATTGTAAAATTTCCAGGGATTTTGTGCCTAAACGGTTGACTTTAGCAAAAATCTTTATAGAACCTTTTTTATAGAAAATTTTATTCTCTTTAATTTTGCTCTATTCAAATTTTTGCGAAAAACGTACAGTTTTCGAGATATTCACAAAACACCGATTTTAGGCGCCATCTTGGCAAGATGGCGGCGCCGCGCCGTTGGCACGTCTGGAAATGTGCATTTTATGGATTTTAGTTAGGGACCCCAAAACCTATAAACCTGCAAAGTTTCAAAACTGCTGGACTTTTTCCCAAGCAGGCTCCTTTTTTGTTCCCCTTCTTGCTTTAAAATAAATTATAAATGGCATACATACTTAATCATTTAAACTCTTGCTATAATATCGGTTAAATTGGACATTTAAAAAATAAATGGCTAAAAATTTTATTGGCTGAATTTTGAAAATCAAATATTTTAAAGAGTTATTTCTTTTTGAATTTTACATAAGTACAGGGTGTCCCATTTTAGTTGAAATCATACGGTATCTCCCTCGGTATCTCCGTTCTCCGTTATTAGTGAAGATAGAAGGGTGCGGTTTTCACAAACCTGTCCCACTTTTTTGTCAAACGGAAGATGCTGTAAACAAAATGTTCGTAACCCTCTTCGTTTTAAATGGAACACCCTGTATATTTATAAAGTATATGACCTGACTTACCATAAGCTTCTCAAAAATATATATCACTCTATATTTATTTTCACTATTTACTGCAATATTTAAAAAAAATTATATCATATTTATTAGTAGACCATGATCTATACCAAAGTCTACAT